GGTACTTGAAACATGAAACGCTAATTTTCAAGGCAATCGCCACGCTCGGCCCCCACGACTGATCGGACTTGTTCTTCTGGGCCAGCGCCACGACAAGACGAAAGAGGATCCAAGACGTTGAAAAGATAAGGGGTGGTGCGGGGCGAGGGTGCGTGAGATCAAGTTCCATCGTCGCCAGCATAATGTACATTGTGTTGGGGGGTGGGGGGATATGCGTTCTGTTCGGTCGGCCACACGACGTGTGGTAGTGACCGTGTGTCCAGTGCTGCTTGTATGCGGATCCGTGTAGAGCGAGAGAGCTCGCTCTGATTAGGCGATTAGCGAGGTGAACTTCTTCCTCTGCGTCTCGTACTTTTGCTTCACCTCCTCGATCTCCTTCTCCATCTTTGCATCCAGATCCTTCAGCATCTGCTTGAGCTCGTCCACCGAGTACTTGTCATACTACACGTACACGTTCGCGGAATGTGTGAGCGAAGCCCGTAACAGTGTGTGTGCGTGTCGTGCGTGTGGCCATCATACCTCACCAGCGGGCTTTTTCTGCATGTAGGGTGGGACGAACTGCTTCTCCTTCTCGGCCTGTATCGTTTGGGAGCTGATGACGGTCGTGCCGGCATAGGCATCAGAGTCGCCATCGTCGCTGTCCTTGCGGGACGTGTTCTTGCCGCTTTCATCATCTTCCGACTCGCTATCACTCTGTGTGCCGTTGTCGTGTTGTGTGTTCGATAAGTCACTAGAGAACTCTCACGTGAAGGAAAGGTGCGGATGAGTGCAGGTACCTCGTCGTCGAGACCGAGAGCAGCTTCTCTGCCACCAGCGGCGGCGATTCCTTCCATGGTCTCATCGACGAGATGGGCCAGCAGCGATGTGTTCTTGGCCTTTTGCAGGAAAGGATGCTGGGGAAAAGGAGGCTTCGATATCAATCATCATGCTCCACCATGCAACACGACACGCCCACTACAGTGAGAAAACTGCAACTTTGAAACGAAGCACGATACCTTGAGCAGGTCGTCAGCGGTGGGTCGATCGGCGGCGTTTTTGGTGAGGCACTGTGCCACAAAATCGTTGAACTCGCGAGACCACTTCTCCGGCTCGGAGAGACGCGGCGGCGGCCGACTGGGTATCATGAAAATAGCCTAGTAGATGTACCACAAGACAAAGCGACAAAGAAACGAGCGCTTGTGAGCTTCAAGGAGACCAACCCAACAGAGGGTTGTGCGTGTGCGTGTGCGTGTGCGTGTGCGTGTGCGTGTGCGTGTGCGTGTGCGTGTGCGTGTGCGTGTGCGTGTGCGTGTGCGTGTGCGTGTGCGTGTGCGTGTGCGTGTGCGTGTGCGTGTGCGTGTGCGTGTGCGTGTGCGTGTGCGTGTGCGTGTGCGTGTGCGTGTGCGTGAAGTGGTACCCGCATGGGATGAATGTTGGAGTACGGGGGATCGCCCTCGGCCATTTCGATGGAGGTAATACCCAGCGACCAGATATCGGCCTTGTAGTCGTAGCCGATTTCCTGGATCACCTCGGGCGCCATCCTATGTGTTATAGAACACACACGCGCGTTTGTCAAACCTTCCGAATTGTGCGCGCGTGTGGCGAGATGAAGAGTGATGTGTACCAGAAGGGAGTGCCGATGACAGTCTTCCTCTTGGCCATCGTGTCAGAGAGCTGGCCCGACACACCGAAATCAGCCAATTTGGCTTCGCCCTTCGTGTTGAGGAGAATATTGCCGGCCTTGATGTCACGGTCTGCACTCACGGACAGGTTGCAAGTTGCAAGTGGTACCATGAGTCACCGGCCAACAACCGCAACGACGCAGAGCGCAGAGGGGAGAACGCACGAATCTTCTTGACGGAGTGGAGATACTTGAGACCGAGGAGAACGTAGTGGGTAACCACAGCGATC